GGAGGACTACATCCGCATCAACCTCCCGCCGCCGATCGGCTATCTGCGCGCCGGTAAGCGGCACTTCTATGCGCGAAACCGCGCCCTGCTGGCCGTCCTCCTCCAGCGGGTCATCGAGGAGAGCTGCGCCCTGCAGTACGCCGCCGACTGCATCAACGAGGAGATCATGGCCAGCCGGCCGATGCCCCTCCACCTGCTGAAGTCGTTTTTGGGCGGATCGCTGAAGAAGGCTCTGCAGTCGAACTGCAGTTCAGTTGCTGCTAAAACAGTTCTGCTGCCCGCCGAAAAGCCTGCCGAGAGTCATCTTCTTCTCGTCGTCCTCCAGGAGGCCACCTACTGGCTGATCACCCTCCGGCGGTACTTCACCCTGGCCGACGGCCTCGACCGCCGGGCGGTGAAGAGGCTGCTGATCCGCTCGGAGGTGGCCGACATGTTGCGACTCCTCGCCGACCCGAAGGCCGCCTACGGAATCGTGGAGACCTCCAAGAGTGCTGACCCCGAAGAAGAAGAAGATGGTGGTGATGGTGATGGTGATGGTGATGGTGATGATGAACATCATCGAAACTACACTGCCCTAACAGCGAATCATCTCGCCCTGCTGCAGCTGCGCATCCTCGCCGCGCAGCTGCTGTACGACGGCCCCTGGCGCCGGCCTTTCATCGCCTTCAGCCGAGACTGGCAATCGCCGTACAGCGGCAACGCCGCCTTTGGCAATTGGATGGCCGGCGGCGGCGGGACAATGTGCAGCCGCTTCAAGCCGCTCATTCTCCGCTCAGACTGGAACGACTGCTTCTGCGACCACCCCAAGGTGCGGTACTACGTCGAGGTGCTCCTGCTGACAACAGGACGCATTGACCTCGGCTTCGACAATGAACTGGACACCAGTCATCCCTGCGTTTTCAGCCTCCTCCTGAACATGCCCGGCGGTACGGTGGCGCTGAACGGCCGGAAGATGGCCACCAACCTGTCGGCTAGGTACGAGAAGCTTGAAAGCCCGAGAAGTTTGAAGCCAGCCACTCAACCGGCAGTCAAAGTGGTGTCCATCCTCTTGGCGCCGGCCGAGAAGCAGGACCCCTTCAAGGCGATTCGCTTCTTCGTCAACGGCGAAGAGGTGGTGCCCATTGCTGGGACACAGACACAGCCACTGCCACAGAAGCCACTAAAA